AAATGTACATATACTGTATACATATATTTTTCATACCTAATATTAACAAAAAATATATTTCTCACGTAGGGCTGCTTTTCAATACCAAGCTGTATTTTCTTTAAATAGCAATAACATTAGTAGTTTCTCATTTACAATGTTAAGTGTCATGTTTAGTGGTTAACTGCTAATTGCTCATCCTGCATACTTCACTAGCATGCTCAATTTTTTTTAACATTATTAAAATTCTTATGCAGCATTTTTACCAATACATTCCAGAAAAAGAAGAGAAAAATTCTATGATATGATCAACAAATGATGAAATATGCAAATATATAAAAAACCAGCGTTGAATGTAATGAAACGCCATTTTCTGGGTGAGCCCCGGAGGCTCCCTGGAGCTTATCGGGCTAATGTATGTTATATTAGACCGGGACATTAGCTATGGAGTTCAGACCTACAAGGGACCAGTGCCAGAACCTGGTCCCTTCAGAAAAGTTTCAGCGAGCAATGGCCCTGGAAAACCCCCCTGTGATTGGGGGTTTTCCTTATCTGCCATCGACCGGGGTTAGGCACCCAGAAAGGTAGGCATAACAAAACAAACTCCACATGTTAAGTAACTAACAACAAAAACTGAACAGAGAGATAGAACTCCCTACAATCCCAAGGAAACAAGCAAGCAAGCAAACGTAACACACAACTGCTGCGCCGCTTGTCCGTGCAGCCCTCCCCTCCCTGAGAGGGGGAGGGGGGCTCCCGGACCTCACCACGCCGGCTTCAAAGCATTCCAGTTCGGAAGCTAAGCTTCAACAAACGCGAAAAAAACGCCGACCGATGGGAGGAAGGGTTTCCAGGGAGCCCCCGGGGCTCACCCTGAAAATGGTGTTTCATTACATACAATGCTGGTTTTCTGAGGGGAGCCACTAAGGCTCCCTGGAGCTTCATACCCAAAGAGAAGGAAAAGAAAGGGCTGACTTGGGAAGCAGTCGACACAAACTCCGCAATGCGAAGTCGAGACAACAGGCTGCAAACTGCGACCCAAAGCAACCCAAGAACACCTAGGAGCAGACATGCTCACAAAAATAACGGGCAGCCAGGAAGCTGTACGACCTCCAAATCCCCGCGCCCGAATTGAGCCCAAGACATGTTACCAAACTCGGCAGTGAAAGCTGCAAACGTCCGAATGGCACGGGCATGAGGATAGACCGCAGGCTGGCTAGATTTAATCCTGTGGTTGACCTGGGAGATCTGAGCCTGGGAACAGGGAACGAGGGAAACCAGATCAACCCAAAGTGCATCCCCAGCCACGGCACGCAGGTAATGGCGAAACGCCGCAACTGGACAACATATGACGCACCCCCAGCCGAACCAATCAAGCATCAAAAACCCAAGGACCCCTCCGGAAAGCAGTCATTTCGGCCTCGCCAGAAAAGGCGGAGAAGGCTGTAAACGTACAAAACTACCACCAGTACCAAAAAAGCAGATACCCCTGTGCCGGAGGAGAGCCAGAAGCTCCTGGACTCAACCCCCAGAGGCCAATGCCAACAAAATAGGACCTATGAAAAACAATCATGAACTGAAGGGGCTACCACAAACCAAGCAGAGGAAAGGTTGGAGAGAACCCTGACCAACGACCAGGATGGCTCAGGCGGTGCATGAGCAGGCCGGAGGTGAAACAAAGCACAAGAAAGCGTACGGAACAAGGCAGCTGTGACGTCCACAACCCGATGCGAAAGAGAAGACAACCTATGAAGAGCAAGAAAAAGTGCATAGAATCACCAGGAATGTCATACTGTCGCCGAGACGAAGCTCACAGGTGGGACACCATTAACGAAGCCACCTGATGGTGATAGAGATGGTGATACACCCGCGTCAAAAGATCAGACACGAAGAGCCAAGGAGAAGTCCGAACCAGCCATGTACTGGAACGGTCCTGCCTGCCGAAAGAGGCGGAGCCGCGGGAAATGCCCCGGGTTCAGACACCGATCAAGCAGCATCTGAAAATAAAGCTGGACCGGCCACCAAGGGGTCACGAGGACTACTCTCCTTGGGAAGGACTCCAACTGAGCCAGAACTCGAAGCAACAGTTGGACCGGGGGAAGAGGTACAGGTAACTCCACTTTGACTAGTCCTGCCGAAAGGCATCCACCGCGAACGCCTCGCAGGCGGGGAAGAGCGCTACATAAAATGGGAGACGACGAGACCACGCTGACGCGAGGATTCCATACGTCCGGCAGAACGAACGAAACAAGTCGGCGACGACCTGCTAATCTGTGACCAAAGGAATTAACCGAACTGAGATAGGCCATCTGCCAGGACGTAGGACACACCCCGGACATGAAGCGTATGGAGAGCCAAACCCCGAGAATCCAGCAGGTGAGCCACTCGAAGGGACCCACCTCAAAGGGGTAAGGACCGAAGAGAATCCCCGTGGTTCCGGCAAGGAACCACTGGAGAAACAGTCTGAATGGAACCAGATGGTAGAGCCCCTCTGAAGCGCAAACCAGACAGCCGCGAACTCCTAAACCATGCTGTGAGCCCAACGGACGGACGGACCTCACCGTCCCCGGCCAGCCCCCCCGTCCCCGGCCGGCCCCCACCGTCCCCAACGGCCCCCACCATCCTTGGCCGACCCCCACCGTCCCCGGCCAGCCCCCACCGTCCCCGGCCGGCCCCTACCGTCCCCGGCCGACCCCCACCGTCCCCGGCCGGCCTGGTGAGCACAGTTTACAAAGCCCCAGCCGAGAGACGACCCGTCCGTGAACACATCGAGTGAAAGCTCGGGGAGGCGCCAAGGCACGGAACCCCGAAAACCCCAAAGAGGAAGCCAGTGACACAGCACCAACACAAGGTCCCTGGAGGACAAACCCAACGATTGCGAGAGAGACGGAAGGTTTTGATAGCCGTGCTGGTCTACCGGCGGGTAGACCAGCACGGAGACGTTCAGACTCCCGCACAACCACTGAGTGACCTGGGACCTCCTCAGAAACAGCCGAAGGTGGGACTGCAGTTGTGGCAACGCCTCTGGAGGGAGAGACAAAGAAGCGGTTCAAGAGTCCTAAACAAGACCCAACAAGGTCCAAACCCGGGACGGAACCAGATGGAACGTCCTCCCGTTAACCAGGAACCCGAACATGGTGATCTGGAAAGAACCACACCCCTGGCGAGCAGACAAGCGGACCGACTGGGAGCCCACACTAGCCTGTCGTCGAAGTAGGCCAGGAAACCAAATCCCAAGCAGACGCATAGAGGCCACCAAGATCCGGTAAAGATGCATAAATACACAAAGTGCCTATTACCAACTAGGGAAGGCAACAACAGCGGCAAGCCTGAAGCCCCACCACCAACTGTGCCAGTCCCGGAGCCCTTGGAGAGGAACATGCCAAGAAGTGACCCGGAGGTCCAGGGACACCATCCAGGCACCCGGCCCCAACAGAAGCCGGACCGGAGACAACAGTCTTCCGAAGAGGGCAAAGAATCCAGGGCGCAGACTGAACAAGTCCAGAAGAACCGCAGATCCGCAAAGTCCCGTGTCTACCTTAGAACAAGCAGGAACCCTGGAAGGATAGGACGGATCGACCACGTCCAAATGCACCCACGCCAAGATGACATGACGAAGCACTGGGGAAGAAGCCCACCCCACCAGCCCCAAAACCCCCAAAGGGGAAGAAGCTGCCCGATGCCACCAGAGGCCGGAAGACAACCAAAAATGCACATGAACTGTGGGACCAAGCGAGAGTCAACAGAGCAAGCTGCCCCCCCAGCGCTCCATTAACAGCGAAGGGAACGGATCCCCTTCCGAAAGAAAATGTATATATAAATACACACACAGAGTTCTATCTCTCTGTTCGGTTTTTGTTGTTAGTTTCTTACCATGTGGGGTTTGTTTTATTATGCCTACGTTTCTGGGGTGCCTAACCCCGGTCGATGGCAGATAAGGAAAACCCCCAATCACAGGAGGGTTTTCCAGGGCCATTGCTTCCTGAAACTTCTCTGAAGAGGCCAGGTTCTGGCACTGGTCCCTGGTAAGTCTGAATGCCATAGCTAATGTCCCGGTCTGATATAACATACATTAACCCGATAAGCTTCAGGGAGCTGTAGGGGCTCCCTCAGAAAAGTCACCCTTACACATACAATACTGCAGTTTTTTAACTTTATTCACATTTAGGTATTCATCATAAGCTGGTGATCTAAGTGCAAAACTGAAAATGTTCAATCTAAAGTATCATTCCCAACATTCACATTGTACACCTGAATGGTAAAATGAAATAACTTTGATGATGTACAAACAACAAACAAATATCAAATAAAAAATAAAAATCTTTAATGGCATCCCAAAATATAAAGTGCATCAACAATTATAATATTTTTTGTGCAGTGCAATAAATTTAGTCAGTGCACAAACTATGCAATACCTATTAAGCAGACTGCCTGTTACCACGACACCACAGGCAGCTAGACAGCACCTAAGGAACAAACTCCATAGTAACAAACATAGCCATGCCAGCACAGGGTTATACTGGGGGGTGCAACATAATGCTAAACTCGGGTACATAACAAAATTATAAAGGACAGAATAGTTAGCAAGCTAGATGTAAGCAGAACACTAGTAGTATTAGCAATACAACCAGTAATTAAAGAAGTTTCACTGTATTCAATTCTAGTTTAGTCCTAATTCTATACTTATTTCTAATAAGGGCAAACCATTCCCAAAGTTAAAATATAAAGGGCAAATTGGTATTTGCAGCAATATCTTCAGTAGTCATTATGGCGTAAACAAATCTTTCCATGCCATATTGATACATGAAAATTTAACCAAATAGTAATTTCTTCCATCACCATCAGGTGCATGACAGGATTCATGTACAAAGCAGCTGGGAATCAATCCAAGTACCATAACAAATCCTCATCGAAAGCTGTAAGATCACTAAGCTATTATAGTTAGCTACATTAGCCAAGAGTGAGAAGTTAGAAAACCAGTCAACGCAGGCTTAGGGACTTGGGAGACTTTCATACCGTACCTTCAATTCTCGGGGTGGTGAGATGCACTTGGGAAGAGGAATAGGTAGATCCTGCTCTCAAAGACAGCATGTGGACAGGCCAGGCATACAATCAGAGGGACACACACACCATAGGATACAGGTACAAGTTGAATAAACACACAGGAAACAGGAATAAGTTGAATAAACACATAGGAAACAGGAATAAGATGAGAAAACACATACATGATACAGGTATAAGCTGAATAAATGAGACGGGTGTATGACGAAATAAGACCACGTAACAGTGAAACACATATTACAGCATAAAAAGTGAATTGAAAGATCACATGGGGTAACTGAACTGGATGGAATTTATTTGTCCTCTAAGCAGGAGATTTTAGGGATTGGTTGATTAAGACTATATTTTACAAATATACGGTCATATAGCACAAGAGAATCATGTTAAACAAGGCATATGCAGCAAATAAATGACAGTACCAGCATACATAAATATGACTAGAAAAATCACGTAACAAAAAGTAGTAAATGCAGTACACAAGTCTATTAATTATATCTATCACAATCTTGTATTGCTAAAATAAAATTCATACAATAAAAACATAATATACTATAAAAACAAGCTTCCTACAACAGCAACAAATGTATCTTACACTAACTATAAAGTTGGAATACTACACATCAAATACTTTGAAACAAACATTTTGGAAATGATCACAATGCCACAATTTCAAAATACAAAAAACTAAAAATTCTTGGAAATTGCATGCCTCCCCCTTTAAAAAGAATAGATTTACATCTATACAAAATTTAGCATACAGCTAATACAATGTGTTCTTTTCTTTTAAAGTGACCAGGGATAATATAGACATTATTAGACTCATCTTAATATGATGTGTGGCCAGCACACACACGTCTATGTCCCAGCAATAGGTAGCAAGGCACCCATGTGATACAGTGGCCTCATGTGCAATATGATTGCAAACAAAATCTATAATGCTTAAGCCATCATCTGATTACAATATAAATGCTAATGATAACTGATTTTAATGTGAATATCAATAACAAACAGTTATAAGCTTATTAGCAGTTAGTCACCTGATGCTTGAGGTGGTGATGAAGCTTTAGCGAAGGGAGAGGATAAGAAGGGAATTGGGCGCCGGGAGGGGGAAGTGGGTAAGGAGAAGGCAGCACGAGTGGCACTGGCACTCCCACGGTCATCAAGGATGTCAGCACTATTCGATCTACATTTCTCAACCTGCAAAACGAAATTATGAAATATATTTTACTTATGATGAAAATGTATCTCCAGGAAATGACCCACACTGTAAAGTGACTGAACAATATAGTGACACCTCGACAAATTGGATTAATTCGTGCAGTACCTGTTCTAAATTTTGGTGAATTCCAGATTTCCATCTTGTATACTAATGGTACATAACAATTCAGAAGTATTTGAGCCAAGGGCACTAATGAATTGCTTAAAAAAAAAATTTGTAAATATAATGAAATGCCTTTTTGGTGGGTCCTTTGGAGGCTCCATGTTCTTACATCCTGGATAGCTCCACCCATTTTAAATCACACCAGGCTTGCAAGTCTTTAACCCTTAAACTGCGCATGGCGTATATATACGCCCTGAGTAACATGTCCCATGGTGCGCATGGCGTATATATACGCCATAGGGTGCCAGGCCTGATTCAAATGGCCCGCGGCTACACGGAGTTCACAGTAGCTTCCTCAGGGCTCTTGTAAACAGATGCCATTTAAAAAAAAAATTGTGGGCAATATTCTCAGGTGTGAGAGGCACAGTACTATTGGAGCAACCAAGGCCGGCGCACGCAGCATGAGCGAACAGCATTGATGTTCAGCTTGTGACCACAGCATCGCCGAAAAATGTCAAAATAAATATATAATTGTTATTATTTAGCGATGACAATATTACAGATGACCAATGACTGTGATATAAATAACCAGGGTTGTGATAATAGCAGGATTGTTGTAATAATTAGCGCTGTGGGAGGAGTGATGCTGAGAGACGGAGGGAGACAGCATCGTTTACTGACTGTGTGGCCACCTGTTATTGTTTGCATTCACCATACCAGGTCAGTGGTTCTCTATGGTGAACACAAATGTAGATACTTATATATAATGTGTGTATTAGTGTAATAACAGCAAAAGGATTATGCTGGGAGGAGCCATATGGGTGACGGAAGTGACGTCGTCTGCACGATTTGTCTAGCTGTTTAGAGGGTGGCCACTATGCTCTTTGGGCGCACTACAAGCTTAGGTGTACAGTTACGGTGCATAAAACATGTAGATATTTATATATAATATGTGTATATAGGGTAATAACACTGCAAAAGGTATTGTTGGGGGAGAAAGTTTAGTGCATGTGACCTTGAATGAGTGAGGGAGCCACCAGCAGCCATCTGTGTATAGCGACGACTCTTAGTGCCTGAACTAACTATATCAGCTTAGCTGTACAGTTGTGGTGAACAAAATATACACATACTTATATATAACGTCTGTATATAGTGTAATAACACCACAACTGGTATTGTTGGGGGAGAAAGTTTAGTGCGTGTGTTGAGGGAGTGGCAGCGAGTGGCTGGCTGGTGTGTGGCGGTAACTCCTCGTTGCTTTTCGACTCTCAATACCAACTTAGTGGTTCGTCATGGTGACCAAAACATGCCAATACTTATATATAACCTGTGTATAGAGTGTAATAGCAGCAAAACTATTTGTTTATAGTTTTATAAACATAATAATTGAATCACTAATATGCACATCATACTTTTGAGTATAGCGATTATTAACCACTTTTATTATATAAATATATTACAATACACGCTATTGAATAATATTACTGCATTAAAACTAAGAAAAAATCAATCGGAGACATTGAAACAATTAGGTAATAATATCTTTGTGGCAACTCCCATCTGTCAACGTGGGTGACGCTGACCGGGTCTGACGACCGCTCTGTCAACGCCGACTTTTTGCCAGACTTCCTCGGTCAATTGTGCCCAAAATATGTCACCTACGATTTTTTTTTTATTTTTTCCGTGCTCAGGGGACACAAATTAACATGTTTAGAAGACGAAAAAATTTTTTTGAATTTTTTTTTTTCTTGCGCACAGGGGTGTAAATGTCCCAAGGACACCTGAGCAGTGTAAGGGTTAAAAGCCTACTGCCGACCAGATGCCAAAACCTGGTAACTCCACAGAAGCACAAGGAGCAGAGGAAACAAGATCACTCTAACCAAAGAAAATAACTCCAGAAAGGTAGTGCAAACCACAACAGACAACAGCAAGGTAAAACAAAATTAAAAACAAGAAACCAGCGTTGAATAATGAAACGCCATTTTCCCGGAGGCTCCCCAGAGCTATACTCGGCTGATGTGTATATATTAGACCGTGGCAACAGTCAATTGAAGGAATTCTAGGCTTACCGGGGACCAGAGCCAGAACCTGGCCCCCTTAAAGAGAGGCATGAGGTGCAATGGCCTAAAGACACCCCCGTATAATTGGACGCAGTCTTTGTCTGCCATCTACCAGGCCAGGCACCCAGAAAGGTAGGAATTCCAAAACAAACTACTGCTGGTCAAAATTTGCAAACCAAAAGCCGAACTAGCAACAGAACTCCCCAATCAAAAACAAGGAAACAAGTATGACGACACCACAAACGTCGCGCATCCGTCTGCGCAACCCTCCCACCCCAGGAGGGGGATGGGAGGGTCCCAGACCTCCACGCTGGCAACTCTCCTCAGTTCAGAGGCTGAGTATCAAAAACACGAAAAAAACGCCGACCGGAGGGATGAAAGGATGCCGGGGAGCCTCAGGGTCTCATCCAGAAAATGGCGTTTCATTACATTCAGTGCTGGTTTTCTGCGGAGAGCCCCTTTGGCTCCCCTGAGCTACCTAACCAAAGATAAAGAAGAAGAGGGACTTACCCGGGAGGCGGTCTTCACTCGCTCCTCAACTCGAAGTCGAGACAACTGGCTGCAACCTGCGACCCAAGGCTACACATGCCCAAGAAGGGCCAGGAACATTAACGAGATAGTGCGGCCAGGACCCTGTTCGACCTTCAAAAGCCTCGTGCCCGAATGTCAGCCCAGGACATATTCCCAAAAACAGCAACCAAAGCCGCGAACTTATGAACGTCGTGGGCACGGGGATAGACACCAGGCTGGCTGGATAGAATAATCCTGCGGACAACTTGGGAGGTTATCTTGAGGTTATCTTGAGATGATTTCGGGGCTTTTAGTGTCCCCGTGGCCCGGTCTTCGACCAGGCCTCCACCCCCAGGAAGCAGCCCGTGACAGCTGACTAACACCCAGGTACCTATTTTACTGCTAGGTAACAGGGGCATAGGGTGAAAGAAACTCTGCCCATTGTTTCTCGCCGGCGCCTGGGATCAAACCCAGGACCACAGGATCACAAGTCCAGCGTGCTGTCCGCTCGGCCGACCCGCACCCTGGAACAGGGAAGAAGGGAAACCGGGTTCACCCAAAGCATCCCCTGCCACTGAGGCCGTAACGTGCAAATAACAGCGAAGGGCCGCAACCGGACACAAAACATGATGCACCCCCGGCTGAACCAACCAAGCATCAACAACCCAAGGACCACTTCGGAAAAACAGTCCTGAACCGAGGGAGCCACCATAAACTGAGAAGAGAGAAATGTTGACGTTGTTGAAATGTTGAAGTTCAAGGAGGTGAAATAACGCCTGAGGAAGCTTGCGGAACGGAGCAGAAGTGACATCCACCCCGAATGCAAGCTGCAACAGCTCCACCGGCGCCGCACGATACGAGGCAACAGTATTTGGCATAAGATGACGGTCCTGAAACAACCAAGAGAGAGAAAGAACAAAACAACCTGATCAGAAATCGAAGACAATCTACTTAAGAGACAAAAATGCCAAAAGGACCGCCAGGAAATTTCATACTGCCGTCTAGACAAAACTTGCAGGTGGGACACCATCAATGAAGCCACCTGATCACCATACAAGTGGTGATAAACCCACGCCAAAAAGACCAGACGCGAAGAGTGGAGGAGAAGATCGAGCCAGCCATGTACCAGACCGAACCGATCTACTGAAAGAGGCGGAGCCACAGGAAGACCCTCGGGTTCGGACATCGAGTAAGAAGCACCTGAAACCAGGGCTCGGCCGGCCACCAAGGAGCCAACAGGACTACTCTCCCCTGGTAAGTCTTCAGCCGAGTCAGGTTCCGGAACATCAACCGGATCGGTGGGAAGAGATACAGGTAACCCCACCTTGACCAGTCCAGCCGAAAGGTATCGATCCCGATGGCCTCGTAGTCTGGGAAGGGCGCCACATACACTGGAAGACGCCTGAACCACGCCGATGCGAAGAGGTCCACCTCTGGGTGCCCGTACGTCCGGCACAGCCAACTGAATGAGTCGGCGTCAACTGTCCATTCCGTGGTTAGGGGAATCAACCGAGACAGGCAGTCCGCTATGACGTTTGACAGCCCCTGAACGTGAACCGCCAGGAGAGCCAAACCCCAAGAACTCAGCAGACAAGTCAACCGTAGCGACCAGCCCCAAAGAGCCAAGGACTGCAGCGAAACCCCCGCGGTTCAGACAATGAACCACCGGGGAGCAGTCTGAATGGTGCCGGATTGTTGCTCCGTGAGCGACACAAATCCAACATGAAGCGAATGCAACACCGCCACAAACTCCCGCACTGTGCTGTGAAAGCGACAGAAGGACAGACCCCACTGACCTTGGTCAGCCTGGTGAGCACAGAACTGAGGTGTGGATTGCCTGCACGGGGGTCTGGGGCTCTCCCTTCCCCCTCCTGAGGAAGGGGGGAGCTGCGCAGACTGTGGCACGGCGACGTCATGTTCGTTTGCTCGTTTCTGTTTGGGGAGTTCTATCTACTTGTTCAGTTTTTTGTAGCAATTTTCACCAGAATAGGGGTTTGTTTTGGAACGCTTATCTTTCTGGGTGCCTGACCCGGTCGATGGCAGGCATAGAATGATTCCAACCACACGGGGAGTTTCTATAGGTCATTGCTCCTTGTGCCTCTCTGAGGGGGGAGGGGGGGGGGGGGGTAGGTTCTGGCTCGTGGTCCCTGGTAGGCCCAAAGAACTCTGTACACATGACTGATGCCAAAGTCTGACATTAGCATATCAGTCTGAATATTAAATCCGACTTTTAAATCCCCGACAAGGCTCCCCCCCCAGAAAACCAGGTGTGGAGGAGAGCAGAAGTCTAAAAATGCCTAAGAAGT